GTTCTTTTGTTTCTCTATATTACATATATGAGCGGAGTCATAATTCAATTATAGTTGGCAGAACTCAAATCCTTGAAGTTTGCCAGGGGAAGTAACTATTCCCTGCTGGGTGTTAGTCTGGGACTGCCCTCAGCAACCAGAAGCTGCCCACACCCCTAACCACACGTCCTCTCCATCTTCAAAGCAACAATGGCCAGTTCAGTTCTTCTTGAGCTTCAAATCTCTCCTAAGATCAGTCAGAAAATTCTCTTTCAAAACACACATGTTAATTAGGTCAGGCTCATGTGGATAATTGCCCTATCTGGAGTTGAAATGCATATCTAATAAAAACTAATCACAGAGCAAAATCCATTTTGTTATAGTCCCTGGCATTATATATAGCAGCAACACCAGGGGAGCAGGAAACCTTATGGGCCATTTTAGCATTCTGCCCACTTTACCACACATCCTTAAATGTCTGTGTTCTTCCTGCTATTCTAATCTGATCAATAGTATATCTAGATAAGGATTGAAGGGATTGACAGTATAAAGTCAGCAGAGAAGAAAAGGAAATGAAACTGTTCCAATTCTGTTCTGCTTCTAAGACTTTGTCAAAAAGAATGTTCTATGAATCCCAGCACATATTGATGAATATTTGTGGAATGAACTATTAATTGGAGAATACACATTTGCAAGGGTAAATGGAAGGCTTAACATAATGGGTAAATATAGTTTAATTGATCACCAACTTGTTTTATTTCTTTTAAAAAGATTTGTTTATGTATGCATACAAGAACTGGGGTATAAGCCAGAGGTGGTGGGGGGCGAGGGCAGTGAGAGGATTCACTGAAGAAAATAGGGAGCAGAACAGACAGGTGCACTGAAATACACTGCTAAGTGGAGCAGCTCAGAGACAGGAGAGATCTGCTGCTCTATGGGGGTGTGCTCCCTGGCCAGCCTGGATGGAACCCATGCTGCAGTGGCTGGCGACAGCTTGATAGCACTGTCTTTAACCTCTGCGCCACCAGGGAGGCCCCACCGACTTGTTTTAATTGAGATTTGCTCCAGTTCTAGATGAATTACTTTCCTGAGTTCTGAGAGAATAACAGGTGAGATTATTGCAAAACCAACTCAGTATGTTTATAGAATGAATGAGTGAACAAGATAACAAGTTTGGTGACCCTCTATAGCACTAGAAAACCTATCTTCTCAACCCCGTCCCAACATCGAAACATTGTCTTTGTGACATTTATTCTTTTTTGGTGACATTTTAGGAAAATTCTCAGAGATTATCTCTCCTATATTTTATTAAACACTAAGGATATTTTAAAAGACTGTGGATCTTTTAAATTATGAGTTTAAAATTTAAAACTATGAGTTTGAGAAGTGCAAATGTGGTCATGTTAAAACACCGGATATATTTTTCAGAAATAAATATTTACTTTGGACTATACTGAGCTTCTATTTACAGAATGCTGTGCATTCTCTTCAACACACATTAATTATAATTTTTTTTCTGTGAACCTATATAGATTCACTTGTAATATTTCTGGTTATAATAAATCAATCTTTAATACATATGAAATATGTCCATGATTAATTGAGTTATAATCTGAGAAAATCCTTATTCTTTAATTTATGTATATATCAAAGTATAAATATAATGTGCAATGTTAGAAACTCAACCTCTCTATCACAGGTGCATCTTCCTTTAGTCAAAAGAATCTTGAAGATATTTTAGTGTATGTAATAATTTTCTCATCACTATGGTATCTTTGTAAAATAGTAACTTATTAAGAGTAAATTTGGGCTAGCAATTAATAAGATCAAATGTCTATTATGAACTGAACAAGTACAAAAGAGATGTTAGAAATGCTGTGTCTATGGAATTTACACATTAACAAGATACAATTATGGAATAAAATATGCATATTTTAAAGTCTGCTAGAACTGGAAGAACCTGCAGAGATTATATTTATCTTTTATTTTAGAAATGAGGACACTAAAAAAAGGAGAAATGATTAACTGAAGCTCTAAGAAGAACTGGTTTAGTAAAGTTGTAAGGAAACCAGATCTCATAGCTATCTAATTCAGGGATATTTAAACATATTATATGCTGGAACCCACAATAAGAAGTAAACTTACACACATATATTTCATTGATCTATGGTGCTACTGATTATAAGACACAGTAGTATCCTATATACTACTAAAATTGAAAAATATCCTATCGAGTACCGGACATGCTGCAATCAAGATACAGCCCAGCTTTCAAAATAGAAAATGGTGGAAAAAACTTCATGTAACTTTTACATACATGTACTATACAATGACAGAACTTTTGCATGTGCTATTCTCTATTGCATTCTTTTTTAAAATGGTGCTATTGGTCCACAGAACTAATTTTACCAGCCACTAATAAGCTGACGTGATCCAAACACTGAATCAGTGTCACAGATAACTCAAAAGCTTGTTAACATATACAACCAAGATGCTAATTGTTCGGATTGATAGTGGGTACAGAAGAAGAACAGAAATAATCTAATGTGGACAAAAACCATCTGGAAAGTTTTCAAATTAGAAATAAGAGTTTAGCCTTGAATGAACAAAATATGGTGAGATAAAGAAGAGGAAGTGAACAATTCTGAAACTTAAAGGGGGAAAAAAAAAACAAACCTTAAAGGTAATACTAAAAAATCATTTTAAATTAAATCTAACCATTTAACTGAGTAAAAAGAATATGACACCATTTTTCAAAACCCAACAATTTCAAAGATAAAAACAAATTTTAATGTCTTTCCTAAGGAAAATATACAGAAACCTGAAAAAAATTTACATATAAGCTTCCAAAGAATGAAAATAAATAAAACTGATTGAGGTAAAACCTGATGCAGTATTTGTTTTATGTCTTTGTTATACATTCAAAAAGGCGATGGTGGTGACCTGGAGACCAGGGGCTGGACTTCTCCCACTCTTGATTTTTTTCTATTCTTTTCTTACAGTCAAATATTACTACAAAAATTAAATTTTGGGAAGTCCTACTTTTCGGCCTGTGCATGCAAAAAAATATATCCAATGATATAATGAAATTGGCTGACTGAAATTCTCATTGCTTTCTCCTACATTCATCCTCAGAACTTTATCTGAGCCAATTTTGCATTTGCGTGTTAAATGTGCACACCACAGTGCAAATGTGATCCCACTAAAAATGTGCAAACTTGGCAGTTAGGAAATATCACCGCGATCGCTAGTACGTGGAATTTCAATCCCTTTGATGAAGATACTAACTTTCACCTAATCCCGGCCGCTAACCTTCGGTTCCTGTTAGACTCCTCCCTCTCCTGTCAGCTGCTGGGCTCCACCCAGAGGGCCCGGGGCTCGCCCTCTCCAGCGCAGCTAAGCGTTCCCAGACCCTGGAGAAACCCTGGTTTTCCGCAGGGCACTCGACGCGCGCAGCTAAATGCCCTCGCTCTGCAAAGGGCTGCTGGAAATGGATTTAAAATGGCAACGCGGACCAATCAGCGCCTCCGCGCCTCCTTGGTAACCCGGGAACCTGGCGGTGCCTAACTCCTGCTTAGGGTTGTAAAGTAGGCGTTTTTATTTCACAATAGTCTGTCTTTTTGGAGAAAAAGGCTTCCTCGGTGAAAGTTTTCATTTTGGAATTAGTCCAAAATAATGTTGGTTGTGATGTGTGAAAATGAACCTTTTTTTTTTTTTTCAGGACTCTTGTTATTCAACGATGAAAAGAGATGCCTTTTAAAACGTACTCCACCTTTAAAAAAAAAATAAAAAAAACCGGACTGTGGTCGTTATGGTATTCACACAACACAGAAACAGCCCCAGTAATAAAATTAGGACTTGGCAGAAAGGGAGTTCCCAAGGAGGTTAAATCGAGGTAAATCGAAGGTAGAATTGGACCGTTGGCGCAATTGTGGTGTTAGAGAGCTAAGAGGTCCCCACGTGAGGCAACCCCTTTACCCTGCAAGCGTTGGAACCCAGGTACACAGAACCAGTCGCAGGGAGGGGCTGGGGTCGGGGGAGAATTCTCGTAGTCTGGAGTCATTCCGGAGGAAAAAAAACTCAATGAAGAGGCTCGCGCTGTCCGCGCGCGCGTGTGCGCATTGTTTGCACGTGTGCATGTGTCTGTGTGAATGTGCATGTCTATCTGCGTGCATGCATACATCTAAGTGATCACACGTTTATTGTGTTTATGCATGCGTCTTTGCAAATGTGCACATGTATTTGTGTGCATGAGTTATGCGTTTGTGCGCGCGCGCGCGCTGCACGCACACAGTCTGCGATGAGGGCATTCCCGGGCAGAACTCAGTTGCAGGGAGCCAGCTCCTACGCCTCTCCAGTTCCTTTCCACTCGCAGGGAAGTACAACTCTGCCGCGCGTGCAGCTAAGACGCCTCCTGCGGAGTGTTGGCTCCGCTCCGTGGAGGTGCAGGTAAAGGCCAAGCACCTAAACCCGGCTCTGGGACGTTCACATTCCCGCGCCTTCCCAGGACAACCGCCCAGGGGCGACCTCGGGCGGCGGGCGGGGCTAGACGAACGGCGAGCCGGGCTGGGATCCCCGGCCTGTCCCTTTAACCCCGCCGCGGGGTGGGAGCACGTGAGCGGGGCTCCGGGTGGCACCCGGGCGCCACTGCCGCCGAAGAAGTTGTATTTCGAACGCTGCCTCTGGCCCGTGGCCAGGCGCCTTGGCTCGGCGGTCCGCCTGGCCTCCCTCCTCTTCATACTTTTCCTCCTAGCAGCCCCCTCCCCTTTATCCGCCCACGATTAGAGGTGGGCACTCCCCCCACACACGCACCCGCCGCCCCCTCCCCAAGCGCACACACTCATCCCGCTTGAATCCTGGGGCAAGAACTCAGAAAAGCTCCAGCCCGGGCAGCGCACACTTGGTGCAGGACGCCGGAGCGAGCAGCCCGTCCCCCCCGCCCCCGGCTCTCCGGTGCCGCTGCCGCCCGCTCCCGCCACCCGAGGGGGCGCGGTGCCACCCACCGCTCGGTCCCCGGCCTGCGCCCAGGGCCCTCCGGACCCGGCAGGCTCTCTCCATCCTCTGCTTTCCGCCTGCCCAAGGAGCTATTTGCTTTCTCTCTTTCTCTTTCTTGCTCTGTGAGCGCGAAGCGGGAGGGGGAGAGGAGGAGGAATTCTTTCCCCGCCTAACTTTGCAAGGGACACCATTCGCTCTGTCTCTTCCCTTCCCGAGCCGTCTCCGAGGAGCTCCCGGGGACCGCCGCTCCTGCGCCCAGCCGAGAGGGGAGCCTCTCCAACTTCACGCCCTCTCTGCTTCTCCTTCGCTCTCCTCCTCCCCTCGCTACCTCCACCTCCACGGCCACCGCCACCTCCGGCACCCACCCGCCCCGCCGCCAGCCGCGCCTCCTTCTCGCCTCCCCCCTCTTCTCTCCTTTTGGCAGCCGCTGGACGTCCGGTGTTGATGGTGGCAGCGGCAGCAGCCTAAGCAGCAGCAGCCCTCGCAGCGCGCCAGCTCTCGCTCCCCCGGCTCCATTCTCCAGCCCTATCGCCCCATCTCCCGAAAGGTGCTGGGAAGATTTGGGGCGGCCGGAGCGAAGCGGCGGCAGCTGTAGCGGCGGCGGGAGGCAGGATGAGCGCACGCGGTGAAGGCGCCGGGCAGCCGTCCACGTCTGCCCAGGGACAACCTGCCGCCCCGGCGCCGCAGAAGAGAGGACGCGGCCGACCCCGAAAGCAGCAGCAAGTCAGTATGCGGGCGCACTGGGGCCACCAGCCCACCTCCACTCCCTCTGCAGGGGTCCCGCAGCGCGCCGGGACCAGCTGGGGAGCCCCGCGGCCGCGCGGCCGCGCGCTGCCGGCCGGCCAGGGGGAGGGGGAGGCGAGCGGCGGAGTCCTCGCCAGCCCGCGCCCCTCCAGGCCGGGAGGTGGGGAGCCGCAGCTGGCGGCCGGGTCCGGAGGCGGGAGGTGGGGTCGGGCGAAGCGCGTCCTCGGACTTTCGCTATTGTGCACGGCCCTGAGTGGCGCGGTGTCGCCTGGGGACTGCAAGAGCCCGGGGTCCGACGACCAGGGCTCGCTAGGCGCTTTCGGGGCCACTTTTGCTATTACCCTAGGGGAATGAGGTGTTGGAGCGTGGGGTTGGGGGCGCAAGGGTTGGAGGTGTTGGGAGTCTTGGGGAAGCTCCTGGAGACGCTTTCCCGCCTACCGGGGCTGCTTGCGGGTGGGGGGACTGGCGCGCTGCAGCCGCGCATTTGGCGCTCTCCCCAAGTTCTCGGTGGCCCGAGACTCGCGCCCGCCCGACAAAGAACTCGTGGGCCTGTCGGATGCGCTTAGGGCTCTTTAAATGCCGCGCGGCAGCGGGTCCACGAGCTGCAGCCGCGGAGGTGTCCCGGAGATGAGGCTGCAGGATAGCCTAGGTCTCCCCCGGACGAGGTTAACTCGCTTGGCCGGGGGCGCGTTGGAGAGCAGTGGCCGGGAGGGTCCACGGTAGCTAGGGTCACTTCCTCGCCAGCCGCCCCGTCCCCCCTTTGCCCCTGGATTCCGCGCCTCGGAGCTGCAGACATTAAATGTACTTCTCCAGGGCGAGCGACTGGGGGTTGGGAGGGGACGTTTGAGGGGCGCCGGGGACCCCGCGGAGTGGAGGGTTTTGTCTGCGGATGCAACCAATTAAGCGTGCAGCCGGCGCTTGCAGAGCTGCGCGCAGCGCCCAGGGCGGGGGGTTTTGTTTGCTGCAATTTCCAAGCCTCGGCGGGCAGGGTTGGAACGAGACGTGTCTACTGAGAACATTTAAACTCTGCGTCCGCGGGCTTTAAAAAAACTTCTTGGTTCTTTCGCCTTAAATCCCTTCCTTCATGGTAAATAGGACGGGAGCAAGGTGGCCGAGAGCAAGGTGGGGGAATCGAAGTGTTTGCTTGCCAGTACGTTTTGGAAAAACTTGAGAGGGTTGTACCTTTTGAAATCATCAAAGGAAACAAGCCAATCTAGAGGCCCCGGAGCTTTCCCGCTCTGCCCATGCGACACTTTATACCGCGTTGGGATCCTGTTTTACACCTCCCAGGAAGCCTCTGCCCTCCCCACTCCTCCGTCTCGCACCCGCCACCCAGGTCTAACTCCAGCCATTGCTAACCATCTCCAAAAAAGATTCCCAAAGAAATTGCAGTGGGGTCTGGAGGTGATTGGAGCTTGTACGTTTGAGTTAAGGCAGAGTTACAAAGAAAGAAAAATGTGTCTGCGACGTGTTTGCTCCGGATGTGCCCACTGGCGCTGGTGGTCTCACAGAAGCTTGCAGGGAACTTCCCCCAGATTTTCCAAGTAGGATGCGAATTTTCATTGAAGACTTTCTTGCGTTTTAAGTTAACTAGTTGCATTTAATCACCGAATCTGAATGAAATAGAAATTGATGATTCGCTGGAAAAATATTTAGTATCTGGAATATTAATCATAGTAGTCTCTTAGCCACTTGAGTATTTACTACTTGGCATAGAAGCCATTTAAAGGTTTGCTAGACCTATTGATAGTTTCAATTTCTCCTTTCCAGACTTTTCCATTGCTCCTCACGTTTTACCTCTCTTTTAGTTTTTTTTTTTTTTTTTTCCAGTCCATCCCCATGAGAGTTTTCTCTAAAGAAAGTTTTGGAGAAAATTTGTTTATTTTTATCAAAAGATATTTAAATTTAGACTGGAGACCATGCTTGCATCTCCAAAAGGAAGTGGAGAATTGAAGCAATTATCTAGGTAATTCAAGCAAAACCTCCCACAACAGATTTACCATAATTATTTGGAAATTTTAGGGGGAATGGAGTTATTTTAAGTTGAAGAACTTCGGTAATTGCTCCAACATTTCACTCAATGTGTTGATTGAGTCATAATTGACCTACAATGCAGATATACAGAGATGATTAAAAATCATCTCTTCAACATGGAAGATTGCTGAAATATTTATGTTTGCTCATATTTCTGTTTGAAATGCTATTACAGTGGAAAATGGTATTAGTGTAAAATGCTTATTATTTCTGTGAGTTGCCAAATACATAACCATGCAAATTTTACACCTTGAAAAATGTATTTCTTTCTAGAAGAGTGACTTTGTCAACCTTTGTTATCTTTGTAGGGTTGAAATAGAATCCAGTTTTCATATGCAAAATAGAATTTCCTCTTTGAACCCTGGGATTAAAAGTACAGTTATTTCCCCTTTCTGTAAACTCTATAACCATTATCATCCATTTATGTTTGAGCTGAATGTGTTCCAACAGCTCTGCTGAGCGGCACATGCAGAAAATAGAGCTGTAGAGTCAGGGTCAGTTTCTTTCAGACATTCTTGCCACAACAGCATTTTTTTTCCCCCCACAATTAGGAGCCAACCGGTGAGCCCTCTCCTAAGAGACCCAGGGGAAGACCCAAAGGCAGCAAAAACAAGAGTCCCTCCAAAGCAGCTCAAAAGGTGAGATTTCTCAAGTCAAGCTCTCTTAACTTTCAGGCACCACAGGAACCTCCCTGTAATTTTCCCATTCCAGATCCACATCTAAGGATATGTCCCAATTGGGTAATCCAAGTTTCACTTCTTATATTTAACATTGGTAAGATTTATAAGCAGATGCTTAGTAGAAAGCAGTAATGAAGATATTACAGTGCTGATTTCAAACAGTTACCAAATAATAGGAAACTGAAACCGGGGCTGGAAGGGTGGGGGAAAAGAGTTGAAAATGTCACAATTTAGATTTTCAACAGTTTTGAAATAGTTACAAACAAATCAAAAACTATGGATTTTGCCTGATGGTGAAGTTTTTGCATTTCCTTCAAAATAATAAAGGTTGACTGATTTTGTGCCTACTTACAAACTGTTATAAGCCAAATCCCCCTATTAAAGTTGAGTACTTTGCCAAATTAATGATAATTAGAAGTAAATCCAATTATGGGATACTGAAAAAAATCTGTGAGTTTTACAGCTCTAAATGCGATGATAAAGTAATACTGTTTGCTTTTCAATAAACTTGCAATATAACATATCAGAAGCTCTCAAAAAGTCTTCCCATCAAATAATATAGAAATGCTATAAATGGAACATTATTTAAACAAATATTTGGCTTATTAATGTATATATTTGGCAGGATAGAATCCAGTCAAATGTAACTTTTAGTGTCTTTCCTAATAAATTTTAAATTGCAGTTTAACATAATTTCATGTTGGTTGTATTTGAACTAGTAGAGAGGAACTATTTCAAGTTCAATGCATTTGCAGAGAAGTGAAGGTAAATATAGAATTCCCTTTTTTTGGCTTTATGAATAAATCAGAAAAAAGTTTCTGAATTTCATTTATGAGTTTGTATATTACTAAAACAAATCTTCAAAATTCTTTTCAGTAGATTTGAGCATACCATGCACAGTATGAGTTAAAAAGGACTATATGCTCATCTTTTGGGGAATTAATGTTTTGTGTGGTTTTCTCTGTGACTCTGGACACTAACCATATTATATGTGATAGTTTTCAGGGTTGCAAAATGCCATAGCAACCAGTGATACATATAAAGTTATTTAGGGAGTAACTATGCGTTTCTGTCTGTTTTATTTTAACAGGCTTGAGCAGATTTAAAGGAACAGATTTCTAGTATATTTAAATATAACTTTCAGATTGAAAATTTAAGTGTGATTCACATTTAATCAATAAACCTTGAAGTAGCTTTAAATTACTTTGTCATTTAAAAGTGACAATGTGTAATTTGCTATTCCTAATGTGAATACTTTCTATATGTTATGTTTTACCTGGTTTATTAAATTAACTAAAAAGGACTAAATGAGCAAAGGAGGATTTTTTTCTTATGTTTCGTAAGTGTGGGATTTACTAACCTAATTTTACTCTTAACGAGATGAGAAAGGAATATCTTGTTAGGTAGTTAATAAGCATTTAAACTATAATGTAATTACTTATTATAGTATCTCTCAGGAAGAAATCTTTAAGTTTCATCATATATACAATGTTTTTAATTAAAAAAGGAAAGCAGATTATCTTTTAGATTTCACTACACTATATATTCTTTTGAATGAGTAACGAGATGCTTCCATCACCTTCTCTTCATTTTGAAAAGTTTACCACTTACAAAATCTTTATTGACAAAAGGAAAACTGAGTCTTGTGCCTAATTTACCAACTAGAGCAAAATAACAACAAAGTTGACTTCTTCCCAAATATGGTTTGATTTATTTTTAGTTACTTTAGTGATAAGCATTTACAAATGACCCTACTTGGCTATTCATTGTGTGAAAAATTTTCATGTATATGCATACATAGCCACAACTTCCATAGCAGAAGTAGGTTTTTATTTTTCCCCAAAAATTCCCTCCCTTAAATCTTTTATTCTTCCAGACATGCTTATTTCACATAATTTTATTATGAAATTTCCATTTTTAATAAAAGTGTTTAAATGTATTTACCCATAACACGACTTACATTTCTTCAGTTTCATAAGTTACCCTTCATTTAGAGAAGATAATACTCTGCAAAATAATTAATGACATTGATGGATTGTTCATGGCATGTATAAATTTAAAGTATTTTCACTTTTAAATTAGTATTTATTGAGTTGGTTACTACCCTAGATGAATATGATTATCAAACATTTATTTATCAAACATATCATAGTCTAGCAAAATAGGTTTATTAGAATTTTGAAAAGAAGTCTTCTATGGAAAAAGCTATGTTGTTCTTTATGTGTAAGAGAAATATACCCTACTAGCCTGACCAGAGTAGGTATGAGAAGTCTATGATTTGGGGTATTTATAAATCGAGACTCATCAAAATAAAAAATGACATATTTGGTAAGTATGTAGGAGGACAGAACACTAAAATTAGAGGAGATACAGTGTACACTGGATTCCTGATGAAGTTGTATGTTTAAAATTTCTTACTGCTTAGAGTTTCTTTACTTACACAGTTTGTGTTTGGACTTAGTAAATGGCCTTGGGGCTTTTGACAACAAATTGCTTGTTGGAAAATTAGCAATGTGAAACTTGACAATGCATGCAGAATTTTGTAAGACCAAATGGACAGCTACTAAATTAGCAATCACTTTGATTTTAGGCCATGTTCAATATAAAATTGATTTCTGTAATATATAAAACAAACATTTTTCAGCCACATGATTTGTTATGCTTGGAACTTTGGGAAGAGAAGGTGATTATTCTTCAATCTGCTTATATATATTCCATTATAACAAATTCCCACGGATGATCATTATGTGATAATTCTAGTCATCCCCAAGAACTCCAGTCTGAGTGCTGAAAATGTGTCCCTGAACCAGTTTTATGTTGTTACCTTAATGAAAGAAATCAGAAGTTAATGTTTTCCTGAATAAATAGTTTATCCATGTGAGTGTGTGTGTCGTGAACCTTTTAAAAAATGTTTAGTTTGAGATATACCTATGATCAGTTGTCTCTGAATTTCCCCTTTGTTTTTCTCTCATATTTGTGCTGGATGAAAATTCTTCGTATTTTTACATTTCCCATGTTTGGAGAGAAGATTAAATCTGCTTTATTTTAGATTATGTTTTTCATGTTGCTTTTTAATTACGAGATACTACTGATAGGAGTTGCCACGGATTCTCTTGTTTGAGGTCTCTAGTCAGATTCATGTAGGTTTCAAGTTAATTCTCACTCAGCTACTTTTAAGAGGAATTTTTGTTTTCTGATATTAAATTGTGTTTTAACATTAAGGCAATTGCATATAAAAAAATCTCAGGTGAGCTAGCCCTACTTCACAATGTCATAGATTTGTTTGAACTTCTTTTTGACCATGTATAATGATCAGACATAGAGTGCAATATACAGAATAAAAATATCATTTAGGTAAAGTATATACAGTTCAAATAATTCATTCAGGGTAGAAATTTTATGTATGCCATCCATTTGCACATACAAAGAAGACTTGGTATAAATTAGACACTATAAAGGCAGATTTGCACTTCTAATCACATTCCTAGAAATGTTTGTATTTTCATAAGTGTTAATCACATATTTTAGGATGGGAGAATGTGGATTTTACTTTTCATTTCAGAGAAATGTAAAAGCATAGATGCTGAAAGGGGACAATGGTTTTTTGTTTTGTTTTTCTCAGAATATAGTAGCCACAATTGAAGAGATTAGCCAAAGATATCAATATAGGTAAGTCAGGGAAAGATGGTATTGGAAGTTGTCATACAATTCCAGACTATGATTTCGTTATTACTAGCGTAATTTAGCTTGATTCCTCTGTGTTTTAGTGGGCATGTCATTTCCAGTAGGAGTCAGAGCCTTATCTAAACATACAAATGAATTTGGGCAGATGGAATTAAGTTAAAACTCAACTGTTTTTTTCCATTATCTTTGTATTTCAGACTGATCTACCTAACCAGTTGACTTTTTTGTTTTATTTCACTTTGTCAGGGATGACCAAGCCTTAATGCATTAGTAAATTCTATCTAGCAATGCTTTGAGTCATCACAGATCATGATCCAAATGTGGGAGACTGAAACACATTTGAAATAACTGCTTTTATGAAGTAACTGCTTCAAGGGACTTAGAGTTCTAATTGTCTGGAAGCTATCATTCTTCTGAACTTGCTCATCAAAAGTGCCTCATGAGTTTGACCTACAACCTGGTTCATCTTTATTTCAGTCTCAACAGATCATTTTGCTTAATATTCTGTTGCATTTCAGTTCTTTCTTGAGAATAGATAGATACTGAAGAGCATTTTATGTCAGTTAAATCATTCAGACCTTTCTTGTCTTGTTAGACCTTTCTGTAGATATCACGTTGGCACCACATAACTTGGGGCAAGCGTGGAACACTATATTTTACTATCTTCAATTCTGGAATTTTCAGTTATATATGCCAACCTAGAAAAAAAGGTGAATGGAGCACTGACTAGTTTAGGCAATCAGTTTAATACACTGAACAGTTTAAACAGCATCTTCTAATTGATTTATTGAGAAATGATGCTGTCATACTCTGTTCTCCAGGATAGTATAGGGGACAGTTTGCTCAGAAGATAACCTCTGGGATCTCTATATTATTACTATTGACTCTTTTAATTACAAAAGAGGTAGAGGCTAAGAATTAAAGGAGGAGAACCCTAGACTTTGAAAATGATAACCTTTCTTTTCATTTTAGTCTTGGGCTGAATTTAGTGTTTGTATTGGTGAAAATAGGGGACTGTAAGTAATAACATGGGAGCTGACAATAAGGGCTGCCTTGGGTAGAATGAACTATGATGGATGATAGAATTTTTATTTCCTATTAGAAAATATATTGTGATGGTAAACTTGTAACATTGAAGGCAAAATTATTGGACTTAAAATTTAGAAACCCAGAGAACAGGATTATCAAAAAGATAAAATGAGTATTACCCAATGCTTAATCTGGTCAATTAGTCCAGCTGGTTTGATGCCAGTGCACACTTTTTATATTTTTTAAAGAACAGCAGAAAGAAATAAAATGTGACTTTTTAAATTTGGGTAGCTGGCGTCATATACTCTTGGATCCAACAGATTTTAGTCTTAGTCTTAAATCTCTCTCTCTGTCTGTCTGTCTCTCTCTCTCTCTCTCTCTCTCTCCACACACACACACACACACACACACTCACACACAAATAAGGCACTGCTATCTTCAAATATTTTTCTAGGGATGTGTGTGTGTGTGTGTCTACACATGCACACAGATGCAATGAATGATCTGGACTTGGAAAGCTCTGGCTTTCATGCATTATTAAAATACATTAAAAATATGAGAGTGTTTAGAATAGCAAAAAATGAGTAGTTATCTAAATTCAGCCCAAAAGCAGAATTAGATAATTCTATTGGTTCACAATCTCAGCTCTTATCCATTCATTATAGAAAGCTTGCAAATGTTTTACTTTTACCTACTCATTTGATTTTACACTAGGAGCTTTTTTTTTAATGTATTTGCTTATGACTATTTTATTTTATTTGGGAATACCTTCCACAAGAACAAACCTTTATTGCCTTGAAATCAGATTGGGGCCTCCATTTGACTACTCACGAAGGTGGGCAGATGACTTAACTTCCCATTTGTGAAACAGGGGAAGTAATAGCTTTCCTACTTAAGCAAGATAATGCTCAGAAAAATAATTGTGGAAACTTACAGAATTGGGAGATCTTTATAAGGCTCACATTTTAAAATATAGAGGGAGAGAATAAATTCCATTTAAGTACCTATGAAATGTGGGCGTTTTTGTCAGACACTCAACATATATATTAGCTCCTTTCATCTCATGATGTAGCCTTTTGGTGTTCATTTAACAAATAAGGAAACTGATTCAGGGATGTAAACTATGTCCTAGCTAATGTTCAGCAGGAGTCACTGGTGTGCTGGCACTTGAATTCTAGTCTAATTCCCAAACTTAGGATCTTTCTGTTATCATATGTTTTCAAAAGTTTTGTGAAGTATTTGCCACAAAGTAGATTATGTTAGGACCAATAGCCTGAAAGGCAGGTTGGAAATCAGGTTTTTGAGAAGCTTTTGGAGGGCAGCTTGCTACAAACTTAAGAGATTGGAAATTTGCACCTACTACACTTAATTCCCACAGACCTCTGGTCCCCAAAGAAAATCATTTATTTTTTTTGGCTATGTCTTCAGTGTTTACAAAACATCCAGAAGTTTTCTTACTTGTTAAATAAAGGGGCTCCATGAAATGCTTTCTAAAGTCCTACCAAGCTATAGAATTCTGATGACAACAGGGAAAGAAGACGCCAGTGTTTATTTCCTTCCTTCCTTCAACAAATACGTAGCGAGCACACCTTGTGCACCTAGCATTAATGCTAAGCCCTGTTTCCAGTCCAAGGGTGCTATTTGTTGGATGAATTCCCTTCTTAAGTTAAAAATTAGTATTTAAATTAAATTAAAAATTAGTTAATTTTTTTTCCAAGTTCAGAGTACCAGGACTTCTTGGAGAAAAAAATAATCACATTTGCCATTTTATGTTCCTCCCATCCCTCATGAACTTGCATCTAGACATATTATAAAATTAAATATACAATTCTGAATCTAAATTTAAAAATATGAATGAAGACAAGCAAGGAAGAAATGACACTCTTAAGATATGATATTTGCAAATATATAGAGAGCTGGTTTGGTCTGAAAAGTCAGTTCTTAGAAATGCAGGCCTGCTTCCTCCCCCTCCCCCGACCCCTCTCCCCTATAAGCAGTAAATACTTACAAGGAATTGTGTTTCAATTATACTTGGATTTGTACAATATTTGAGACCCAAATTCCCCCATTCCTCTGGCAAAGGAAAACCAAATATACACTTACACAGTATTGCCTGTGTTGTCATATTTAAAACAAGCCCCTGAAATGCTTTTATCTTCTATTGAAAAATGCCATTCTGAAGAGCATTGAACATAGTTAAAAATATTAAAGTCAGTGTTTTCCAGTTTATGAAAACCCTGGGTCTCTGCTGACTTACAAACTAAAATCCTAACTTGTTTTGCAGCCTTTGTGAAGTTTGATCAGAATGATTAAATAATGTGGGTTTTAAAGAACAATGAAAACCTCCCAGATCGACGCCACACAGCACAGCTAATGTGTTTCTTCTAGATGTAGTCTCAGAAGAGGGTTTCAGTTTACACGTAACACTGGCCCGAAGACCAAGGAACAAGTTTGCTTTTAACAAGTCTAAGTGATAATCATGATATTTTGCCCTTTAGTTAATGGTGTGAATTTTATTTTTCAATAGGCTTTTGTAAATGAGATGCTCATTTAAAAGTCCCCTTATTTTGCAGGCCTTCTTCTCTCTTTGAGAGATTTGCTTTCTCTGACTCTGAAATGCAGTGAAACCTTTTTAGAAAACAGCTCTCTTCAACAGATTTTAGATATCCCGGATCACATCATGGCCCCTGAAACATAACAACTGTACAGAGAAAGCCTGGTGCAGCACTGTTAGCATTTAAGGTCAACAGCCTCATACTCTCAATCCTGCCTAACATCCCTGTGTTCATGAAAAAGGATTTCTACCTTCCATGTTTATGTAATTTACTACTGGCTAAACTGTACAACCTTACAGTTACTCCCAAAGATTGAATCAGACACTGCTTCTGTGTTAGAGAACTTTGTACTCATATAACTCACTATGTATGAACCAAAGGGTTTCTTAAAAGCTTGTTCTAATGTGACAAATGGCTGTAATCGAATATTGGCATTGACTGAACCGTCTATGAGATTGGACTAATTTGAAGGAAAACTTTCCCTTTGAGTGTCTACCTGTTTAGGCGTGAAAGAACTTGTACTGAGCATTTCATTCACAGTGGGCACCCCACTTCTCACGAGAGGTGTTATCTCCCTTTCACACCAAATTAAGATTTTTCGGGGGCCTGCCCAAAGTCATAAAGCAAAAATGACAGGGCAGCGATTTGATCTAAACTTTCCAAAGTAGAGATTGTTCCTCTCAGGACATCTCCCTCTCTTCTCGAGACAACACTGGGAAGAGGGTGTGATTTGATTCACTGGTACTCCTGGCTTTCACTTAATTTAATTCATGCCTTTATGACCGAGGGTAAAATGATGCTGCTAATCCCTGAGAATAAATGATTCCTTTGTGGAACCATTCAAAAGTAGTAAACATCAATTCCTAGGGCCAAAATCTGATGGTTAGATGGCTCACCTAAAGGCTTTCTTTTTGTTCTGGTAAATTCCTGAGTCAGTGACAGTTTTAGTTAACTAAAATATCTCCCTCTGGTAGCAAATGTATTTACACGCAGGAGAAGCAGCATTGTTAGGGTTGGAACTGATTCTTAGAATCCCTGATCTGCCACTTGCTGGCTTCATGTGTGACCCTGAGTGATGTTCCTCACGAGTCTAGCATATTGTTGCCCATTTGCAAAAAAAAAAAGAGAAATAGTACTACCTTCCTTATAATGCTATTGTAAAGGTTAAAATGATTCATATAAATGACTTAGCCTAGTGCTGGGGTATTTTAGGTGCGTGGTTATATGTGAATGAACTTTACAATTCTATTGAGTGGGTTAATACATGGAACCTGTTGGATACTAATGCAGGTCACTGTGATATTTAGTGAGAAATCAAAATGATCCACATATGTTATCGATCATCTATCTCCATTTATTCTTAGGTAGACTGAAGAAGGAGAGGCGCCTCATTCAGCAGTGTAGACAGTTACAATGGGTAACTTTAGCATCATTAAACCAAGTACCTACTGGCTGTCAACCCAAGTAACAAAAAGAAAAAAGCAGAACAAGTTATCCTAGCTCAGGTTACCTTTATTTTTGTATTTAGATAGCTTTGGGATGATTCATATCCACAGGACAGTATATATTTTTTATTTATCCCAAAAAGTATAAATATATGTTTTTAGAGAAGATGTATGTATTGGTATATTTGGGGATTGGGTGGATGTTGATAAACATGGAAATTATAGGTAATGTTAAAATTTGATTCAAAAGAGAAAAAATAACTAACATCAGAAAAAACTTCTATGAAGCAAAGCAATAAAGGAAATTCTCCAGGTAATTAGAAATATAATCATGTCAGATATGTGTTGAGTGTTAAGTTATTATTAATAATGTAGATTTTTTTATGAGTTGTTACTTTTAGCATCCATAGTTTCCATCTCATAGAGAAATATCAGTGATTTCTGCTAGTATTTTTACTTTATGTTTTAGGTGACCTCATAAAAAAGGTGATTGTTTTTGGCAAGTAATAGGAATTTAACTATGTAGAAGTATGACATTGTTTTTTTTAAATTTTAATTCTTTTTTGCACTTATATTTGCTTTTAACTTGCAAGATAGGTAGAAGTGCTTTGTAAATTATAGTGCAATATATCAATACTATTTTTTGTAGTATTTTATAGCTTTATTTGTGACATGGAAAGAAAATCATCATTTGTGAAATAACTCGTTTTCTAAAATGCTAATTTATACAATTATGGATATGGGGGGGGGTTGGTTGGTTTTAGACAGATATAAAAGCAAAATAGTTTTTTAAAACCTTCTCATGCATTTGAAAGATCACCCCAGGTGTCTTTTAGGGTGAGGGTGGCATTGATCTTTACACCATGCTATGAAATACAGGCAAGAAAAATCTATTCAAAAATGGAGATGATGAACCTTAAAAGAGAAAGCCATTTGAAAGCAATCTTGATAACTCATGTGTAAACCAGAAAGTTCCTTCTTGAAAAGTGTTCCCTTTATAAATAATGTGAGGTAGGAAATGATATGACTTCCTTTTTTCATTTTGCAGAAAGCAGAAGCTACTGGAGAAAAACGACCAAGAGGCAGACCTAGGAAATGGGTGAGTAATGAGACATACTTTCTATTATTTTTTTATAAGGACATATTTGTTTCTTTGAATGGAAATAACTTTTATTCTCCTGATTACATGCATTTCTAACTTTGGTTTGATGCATCTTTGAAGGGGTTAAGGCCAGAGACAGATTGATCACCACTCCTTCCATTAGGTTCCAGAAGTTTACTCAGAACTCTATTCTTTCCTGGAGGCGGCTCCTTTTTCTATCTTATCAACATGAAAAGAGTCTCCACCTTCCTTCAAGTGGGTAACAATGAGATGACTTGTTCAGTGGGTCGAGTAACTAAGGTTAAAGGGTATTATGAAACCTTGTGAATTGATTACAAATAGTGATAAAAGCAGATGAAATGTGTATGAGATAACTTAACATTTTCTTCTCTCTGCCTCATCTCCTTCACTCTCTTGTGTTTCCTCCATGGCTTAACTTCAGACACCTCTTTTTTCTAAGTGGTTCATGTTTTTTTTCCACACTGACTATGTTCAGTAACTAGATTTTAATTCCAGTTTCCTTGCTTCTCTTAGCAGTCATTTTCTAATGACATTAGAGACATCGGCGTTGCTGCAAGCGCTCTTGATGCCATAGGCAATGATCCTGTGCAGATCTTTTAGAGGCCAGAAATTCAGTGATTGCTGAAGAGCTTTGATAATGTTACCACTCAAAACTTGTTCTCTTTGCCTTGACTCTACCCATGTTCTTCTGGTCTGCCTTTTCCATTGACAGAGGAGAAGGGTCTTAAAAATGAATAAAGCCATTTCTCAAGATGATAGCATCCTCTCTTTTCAGTATTGTCTACAATGGGATCTTTGACTTTCCTTTTATCACTTTCTGATTTATTCTTCATGTTCTTTTTTTCCTTCAACTTTCTTTGCTGTTATGCTGAAATGTAATTTCTTGTAGTTTGCCATTCCTTTCTCTTCAACAGTTCTGCCTCACTTTCTGTTTATACTTTGGTATTGCCTTTTACTTAATTTGTTCATCTTGTATTTTTTCCCCTCTGTTCAGCATGTGTTGGGATTAGATTTCTTAGCACAAGGAAATGAAGATGATCTTTAGATTAAAAACATCACAGTGTTACAGTGTAGTCTTAAAGTAGGAGCTTTCATTCAGCCTTCTGGTCAGTAAATGGATTTTTTCCAAACCAGGTGATGATAATATAGACTATGTTTGACTGCCTTTAATTTTAGGGAAAACACTTCCTATTAAGGCTACTTCTTCCTTCCTAGAAAGTCCTGGCCATTAAAATATCCTTCCATCTGACTCCCTGTAGCTTCTGCTTACACCCCCTGGGCCTTCCTCCTGTGACTATGCAGAGTAATTGTTTTCACTTTTGATGGTAACCCTTCAAATATTTGAAAATAATTAGCCCATACCCTTTGCTCTCTTTCCTTGGTGACTATTTCCTCAGTGACTCTCTCCAATCCTTTCCATTTTTTCCCCATAAAGAAACTTTGTTATTCTCTTCTGAATGTTTGGTTTTTACTCTTTTGAAATATACTGCCCAGTACTAAGTATCATATTCCAGGTGTAGGCATTATAACCAGTAGGTTTATCACCTCCCTTGTTACATGTATTATTCAGTTACCTGCTCCTTAACCAACCACGCAAACATTTAATAAGAAGAATCCCAAAACAGTTCTTTTATTATGTTCACGCATTCTTTGGATCAGGAGCATGGACAGGGCATAGCAGAAGGGCTGTCTGCTTCAGGATGTATGGACTCTCAACCAGGAAGACTCAAGCAGCTGGGGCTTGAGGTCTAGGATCTGGTGTTTTTGCAGAACTGGCTTGAAGACTGTTTGCCTCTGGGAACATCCAGCACGTGGTCTTTCTAGTTTGGTGGTCTGAGCGTAGTCAGCCTTCTGATTCCACTCATAGTATTCTGGCAAATGAGGAGGAAGCAGAAGCAAGGTTTTTGGTTTTTGTTTTGGTTCTTTTTTTTACTTAATCTGGGAAATCAAAAGGCTCTACTTTCATTATACTCTAGTGGGCACACTGTTGAGTATGTTGATATTGTTATGCATACTGCCAATTTTTAAACATCAGAACTTTGAAAAGACATCTATTCCATCAGATTAATCCATAAAAAAGACCTGTATAAGCTTTCTTATAGGAGACATAATAGAAAATAGATAAGTAATTTGAAGTAATGAGGTAAATGTTCAATGACATGAAATACATTGTAAGCAAGTGCAACGAAAATTAACCAGCAAGACAGCTTGCATCAGGAATGCCCCCCAGTTTAAAGTGGACAAAATGTTGATGATACACTTAAATATTATGAAATGATTACCGTGGTAGCTCCTGTTAATGCCTCCATTATTTTACATAATTACAATTTTTCTATGGTGAGAATTACTCTCTTAGCAACTTTCAAGTACTATATATATAATACAGTACTATTAGCTATAATTATCACACTGTACATTACATCCCCAAACTCAGTCACATTATAACTAAAAGTTTGTACCTTTTGAGCAACATCACCCTATTTCCCCCATACCCCAGGTCTTGTAAATCACTATCCTACTCTTTATTTCTAGGAGCTTCACTTTTTCAGATTACATACATTAAGTGATACACCCTATTTGTCTTTCTCTGACATAATAATGTCCATAGGGTCCTTCATGTTATCACAAATAGCAGGTTTCCTTCTTTCTCATGGGTGAGTAATATTCCAGTGTACCTGTGTGTTTGTGTGTGTGTGTGTACATGTGTATACTATACCTTTGTCCTTTCGTGTATAGATGGACCTTTAGTTTGTTCCCCTTGAACTATCCTATACTGTTCATCATTTAACTTCTGTCATGTTATTGTCTTCTCAAAAACTTTACATGACTCCAGAACTAGACACTGACTTAATTTCAACTTGCATAGCACTTTGAGGTCCTAGAGTTTATACCCACCTATTGCCATAGTTTTATTTTCCCTCACTCATCCTCACATAGCTAATGTTTCAGCCAAGCTATAATAAAATATGGGATAATTAAGGGATCTATATAATTTTTCTCAAAGAATTCTTCTCTCATAATTTGAGGGAGTTCTGGATTCCAGGCATACGCTCTTCATGCTTGATAAGAGTCCGATGTGAGGAGTCCACCACAGAAACCCTGACCCTTGCCTACTGGGACTAACTGAGCAGTCTTCATTGACTATAGTGGTTTCTCATTTTTATTGGCTAGAGGAGTGGAAAATAATGTGTTGTGAATTGTTTTAAGTCCCTGATTTGGTCCCCAAAGAAGAGTTGCTCTGCTTAGAAGAGGAAATAAAAGGAAATTGTATATTTTTTCTAGACAGTGTGCTTCTTCTTTGGTTGTATATGTTCTATTGGGTAGAGTGTGCCTCCAGCCACAGAAAGGCATTCAGTTCAGTGACATCTTTTGCTGGAAAACTTGTACTAAAGAAGAAATATTATTGCATTTTCCATAGGAAATGGGCTTGTGCTTTAGAGTAATTTCATTTCTTTCCAATAATGTCATTCACTGATTTCCTTGTATTAGAAATACATTTTTTATTTACTAGGTCAATGGACTAAAAACCAAATTTCTTCCCTTTTATTCTTGTTTTTAATTTTTTTGTTTCAGAGTTATTTTACCTTTAAAGATATGTCCTGTAACTCTTACAGTGTCAAGTAACAGACCTGAGGGAAAAAAATAAAGCAACTTATGATATAACCTTTTCACCTGATATAACTGAAACTGGTAGTTGGTAGGTTATTCAAAAGTTTGTAGATTTAGGAGAAAAAGTTGCTTCTTTGGGGGATGTATTGTTGGCTAATACAATGAGGACATTAACTAAATTTTGGTTAAGAACACTTCTATGGTTTATTTTTTCCCCCCTTCATATTTTTTTCTTTTGTCCAGTTTGAATTAGATTTCAGATCTAATCTGGACTTTTATTTGTGTGTGTGTGTTATGGGAGTGGGTATATGAAGGAAGTGAGCTCTAAAGAAAGAAATAGGACATAACTTTTCTTCTGGTCTTATAGCTGGGAGCTCAGGATCTGGATTCAGATGGATTGTGTTTACATTCTGGCCCATCATTTTACTAAGTATGGAATCTTGTGAAATTTACATGACCTTTTCAAGGATCAATTTTCTTCATTTTTAATAAGGTAGTAAGAATGGTACATTTTTCATAAAGCTGTGACGATTAAATAATACTTTGAAAGGGCTTAGTAAAAGACATGGAACATAGTAAGTGCTCAATAAATCTTAGGAATTATAATTAATTCCACCATACACTTTCATATAGATATCACCAGTGACCTAAACCTGATTATATTATGCTACCAGTGGAGTGATGTGACAGTTTTGTGTCAAATAACCAAGAACACTTGGAGGTATCATTACGTCTTCATTGTATCTATGCAGAATATCATTAAATTTAAGAACTCCTTATAAATAACATTAAAGTGCATTTTAAATCTATTTGCAAGTAAGGGGAAATTTTTACATTGCTGCTGATAAGCCTTTCTTCTAATTGTAAAGATTTGGTGTCATGTTTTGATGATCAATTTGAAAAGTAGTATTTCTGATATTTATCTCAATATGCACAAGCAGAGATATGCTGATTACTCAGAACTTCTATAGAATTCCATTACACAGTCCTTCTACCAATTGAAACTAGATTTTAAATATTTGCATTTCTCAATTTTTTCCTAGGAAAGGATCTCAGTACTTAGCTGATGTGCTTTAAAGAGTGGAGCTGAGGCTCAAAAACACAAAGAAATAACAACCTTACTAGAAACTTCTCTGTCTAGATATTGCCTAGTGCTTGTGGGTGAAAAAGAAGCAAGGACTAGATAAAAAAAGAATATGTTTTTAGGTGTTTTGTTTTCAAAATTCAAAATGAACTCCCCAATGTTAATTAATGGTTTTAAAAGGAAAATGATGATTCTGGAGATACTGAGATTGACCTACAAGTTGACCCAAGAACCAGATGCTGAAACTGAACTTCAATTGGTTACTAGAAAGTTACTAACAAAC